CCTATTACCGCTCAGATATAAGAGGTAAACAAGAGCGGCGCAACTCTTATATCCGAACCGCAATAGGATACATATTTCTTTAAATAATTCAGAAACTAAATATCGGATGAAATTTTGCAAGAGAAAAAGTTGTCTCGAAATTAATTCAGTTATACGACCCTTTAAGGACAACAGTTTGTTTTGAATCACCCTGTATATATGTATATATTTATAAGGTCTTAGAATCACATGAAGATCAAATTGAATTTCTCCAGTTAAAATAAAGTTATTATCGCTAATATCACAATTAGAAAAAATTTCTTTTTAATTTTAACTTTAACATTATTGCATACTTATCGCTATAGTTGAACGTTTTTAAGATATTGTAATGTTTTCAGATTTTTAAAGAACTATATCAAAATTTATGTTGAATCAGAAAAAAGACGATACAATAGAAGACAAATATTAGTTACCACACTTACGAATTTGATGAAATATTTTCTTTATCTACATCTCTCTCTTCAACGTCTCTTAATTTGTTAAATAGTGAGAGGACTTTGTATTTAGTTGCGATCTTACGTGATTTTGTACCAGAAGTAGGATGAATATTTAAAAAATATTTCTGGATAAATTCCAAAGTACATGCACAGTTTGTAGGATATTCTATGTTGAAAACATAATAGGCAGACATTAACATTTCTAGAGCTTCATAAAAACAATATGTTCTTTTAATCTGAATTGTTTCTATAAATAAATAAAACATGCAGCGTTCCAAATCATCTGTAACACACATTCAAGCACCATACACATGTAAAAATATAATTAAAATGTTAGATTTGAAAGAGAGAGAGAGAGAGAGAGAGAGAGAGAGAATTATAAAATAATGTATTACCTATGATTACAATACATGGAGAAGCAATAGGTGCTTCAATTTCTCTCATAGTTGTTCCTTCCTATAATATAATAAATTAGATACACTTATAAAATAATATAATAAATTAATAAAAAAAATATATATTCAAATGCTTCAAACTTACAGGATATATTTTAAATAATGTGTGGAAGTCTTCTTTAAAGTGTTGCATAACTATTTTCATTAATAGAAGTTCTTTTAGTTCAGTTGAATCAATAATTTCATTATACTTTTTAAGACGTCCGTAGATGAGTATTTTTTCCTGCTTCTTTAACATTTGTTCTTTCAATATATTTATAGAGTGTCCCATTAGCTCATGGTAATGCCAGAACATATACTTTTTTCGTAAAAGTATTGGCCATGAATTTTTAATGTCTTAAATCGTAGGTGGTTTGTGGACATTATTGAGAAATAATCTTTGTGCAGGGTACGTTACTTGAAGGTAAGAATAAATTTTTTTTGTAGTATCAGGATCGTTTTCTAGAGCATCTTGCAGGACTATTTGTCGTAGAAATTCAGTTTTGGCTTCTATTGTATTATCTGTTTCTGATTCAACATAATTGTCAGGCTGCCAATTACTGCACCCAGCTTTGGCAGATAAAATTTTTCGTTGTTTTTTCAACGGTATATTTAAACTTCGATTTAAAGACCTTTTCATATGTGGCCTATTAAGATAGCAATTTCTATCACGAAGTTTTAAATATAATGTGTAAATTCCATCTCCGAAACATTTACCATCTTCATCCGTATCCTTAAATGTTAGAGGATATTTTTCGATGATTTTTTTAGCTACTATTTTGAATGCTTTTGATGAAATAAAGTTTTGCAAATTCCTCATTTCGGAAATTACACGATTTACAACAGCATGTATTATGTATTTGCTGCGATTTCCTGCTTCTAATTCTTTAATTACTGTTGATTCCAATTTATTCCAAGGTATGCAAAAATGTGTCCAAATTGCTTCATTATCTGATTGCGTTTTGTCTAATACAGTTATTGGTGATAAAGCATGTCGTGTACTTGATGAGGATGAAAAAGTAGAAGCCATG